TGAAAATAACCTCAAACAATAATAAAAATAAGAGAGAACGAGAGAACGCCGTTTTATTTATCCGAATTCCGATCCATATAAGATTAAGCCCGTTAATACCAACTATAAACCCACCAGAACTTTATTAAAAATATTAAAGAAGGACAAAGGATAAGAGAATAAAAGAAAAGACGGAAGATAGACGTAAATAAACAACGAAAGCACAAAGGGAAGAAACGAAAATAGGAGAGCAAAACACACCCAATGAACATTAAATAGACAACAATCTACGCTAAGAGTATAATGCCTTTAGTTGTTGTCCTCCGAGAAAATTGGCGACGATGGCTACTTCTGATGCGATGATGTTGTAGGAAGAGAGGACGAAGAGGAAAAGGAAGGAAGAAGGAAATGGAAGGGAGAAGGAAGAGGAAAAGGAAGAAAGAAAGAAATGGAAGGAAGAGGAAAAGGATGAAATAAAGAAAAGGGAGGAAAAGGAAATGGAAGGAAGAGGGAAAGGAAGGAAGAAGGGAAAGGAAGGAAAATGAAGAGGAAAAGGAAGGAAGAAGGAAAAATAAGGAAGAAACTAAAAGCAAAGAAAGAGGGAAGGAAGAAAAAGAAAAAAAAAGAAAGAAAAAAAAAGGAAATCAGAAAAATGAAATAATGTTTATGTAAAGAGCAGAATGATATAACTCAGGGAAGAAGGACAATATATATATATATATATATATATATATATATATATATATATATATATATATATATATATATGTATATATATATATATATATATATATATATATATATATATATATATATATATATATATATATGTAATGTCACGCAGAAGAAAAAAACAGAGATAAATCTTATAACGATGATAAAAGAAAAGATGAAAGGAAGAAGAAAGAAAAAAAAGCAAAAGAAAAAAAAAATGCATTGATAATGATAACACTAATCTTAGAGAGAAAGAAAAACATGAGAAATGGGCTGTTTCCATGATGCAATGAATATAAACATGCAATTTACGTGTTGCATGATTCATCTGCCTCTGAATCAAGTGTTGTGCAACTTGCATAAGAACTCTTTCTCTCCCTCTTCCCTTTTATCAGTCATCCCTTCCTCGCCTTTTATTTCCATTTCTCGCTCACTGTTTGTCTTTCTGTCTATCTTTATCTGTCGATTTATCTTTGTCTGCGTCTTAGGTTCTTTGCTCTCGGTTTTGCCTCTCTCCCTCTTTCTCTTTTCTTTATTCTTCTTCTCTTTTTTCTCTTTTCCCTTTCAATGTCTCGATACATTTCTGTCTATATCTTTCTGTCTTTCTCTCTCTCTCTCTCTGTTTCTCTATCTCCTCTCTCTTTCTCTCCCCCTCCCTCTTTCTCCTCTCTCTCTCTCTGTCTCTTCTCTCTCTCTGTCTCTTCTCTCTCTGTGTCTCTTTCTGTCTCTTTTCTCTCTCTGTCTCTTCTCTCTCTCTGTCTCTCTCTGTCTCTCTGTTTCCCCATATATACCCACTCTCTCAACGTAGGTTAATTCAAAACTCAACTACATTTAGAGCTAAAAATATTTATTAAAATCTACCACTTGCCCTTTGAAAAGCCAACTCGATTTTCTACCCCCCCCCCAAAAAAAAAAAAAAAAAAAAAGAAAGAAAAGAAAATAGCAACAATACCCAAAAAAGAAATAGCTAACTAATACCAATCCAATAACAATAAATATGTAAATAATACCAGTACATTTACCACAAACATTTCCATGCACATTAACCCAACCAGCAAAGTCAGCCAAAGTACAGACTTCCCCAAAGCGTCTCTCTCTTCAGGAGGAAATTTGAACTTCCTGTCTCGCCGTCAACAGCTAACAAGGAGGCAGTTTCGAGTTTATTGGGCTGTTTCGAACGAGGACAAAGGTTCATGATGGCCCAGCAAATCACCCTTAATGCCTGGAATCTTCTGGAAGGGCGTTAATGGGGCTCATACATGGCCCGGTGTTGTAGTAAACGTAGGCCTGGGAGAGGGGTGTTGCATAATGTTGAAATGAATATTGGTGAATGGGAGAGAAAGTGCGAGGCGAGGGTGCTTCAATCGTTACTGTCAATTTTGAGGGTGATAAGGAACTCATTAGTGATATTAGCTAGCTTATTAGCTATATTAGGTATGTCCATTATCATGATTATAATGTACTGGTAATGGTAACTATGATAATGAACACCATTTAGCATATTAATAATACCGATGACTATTACGATCACGATAATCGTATGATATTAAGTAAATGTACTAGTAATCATGATAGTGAAGTACGCATCGGAACCTCCTGCAGCCATTTCGTTCACAAATATATTTTCTACTACCTCTATTTTCCATTTTTTTTCCCTTTAAACAAAAATGTGATTCTCTTGTGAATACCATGCGAACTAAACTAGGCGACCAAACAGTGTGTAAAATCCTACAGCAGTTAGATATGTAATAGTTAATGTGGATTCGCCGACGCACTGCATACCTTTGGGTGTGTAGAATCAATACCG